GTGGGGTTAGGGATTTTGTTAACAGGACGGACCAAGGCTTTTTTCCAAGGGGTAGGAAAAACAGAATTTTAGAGAAAAAAGTTATAAATGAATAGAACTTGAAGGATTTAAGGGAGGCATAATTTTAACAGTTTGAGGGATATTCCGTCAATTCCAATAAAGTCGGATTGGAATTTTATTATATAGGAAATAAGGTTCGTAAGAGTGACGTAGGAAAAATAAAAATTGTCACTATTGAATGAAGATGATACAGAAATATGGGAAGAGATGGGAGAAATGTTAATAGAGGAGGAGGATAAAAATAGAAATTTAAAGCATCAAGAGAGACTGGGACGACTAAGGAGAAAGATAATCTGCAAAGAGACTGCTTTCGAAGTAAATGCCATTTGGATTTAGAATCGGGAGCAGAGGAGAAGGCTTCATGAAAGTAATTGGTTTTCACTTGCCTGATCGTTGTTTGTGTAAAGTTAGGGAGTACCCTGAACGCTTAATAGTCATCTGTAAGCCTGGTTTGTCTAAACCGTAGCCATTTTGTCTAAGCCGTCTACGGGCTGCCTCACTTCTCTTTTGCATATTTCGAATTTCTTAACGTATCCAATCAGCAGGTGTAATCATCATTCCAATCCAAGGTTTCAATATCGGGCAGAATGCTTTCATGAGTTAGGGAATTGATATTGCGGAAGGTTATTGTTTTAGAAAGGATCGCAGAGGTCTGAATATTGTATGATAGTTGGATGAGGTCATGAGAAGAGAGGAAAGGAACAGGTAATTGGAACGAAGACAAAAGGTTCTGCGCAGAATCAATGACAAACAGGTCCAGCCATGTATCAGACCAGCAAGTGTGATGAGTGGGAACAAATGAGACAATAAAGAGGATAATGGAGTAGAAAAGGTTTTCCAGGTAGTGTTTGTCGTGGGAATAAGAAAGGAGATTGGCATTAAACTCACCGGAAACTATTATGTTACTGTAAAATGGGATAAATTTGTATAGGGTAGATTAAAGGATGGGTCGAAAGGAACCAGAGGATGACGATATAATACAACGTATAGGAGATGGGCTTTGAATGAAATTTCAACAAAAAGATATTCCATGTGGGGACAATTAGAGGGGGTTGAGATATCTATGATTCGGGATTTTAGGCTATTATGGATGTAAAGACCCACACCACCACCCGTTCGTGTCATGTATATATCGTCATAAACTTTTGGTAAAATGAAATTCACCTGTTTCACAAGTGCGTTCTCTCCCCTCAGAACATTCCTAGATCCGTCAATGAGCTTTGTTTGTTATCTACATTCATTGGTGAATCGAGGGGAGGAGTGGGCTTTCTCGCTGAAGCACTCCTCAAAATGGAAAAACATAATTTTTTTTTTCAGAGGTCCATTTTTGCTCCCATGAATAATTTGGGCTAAGTACTTAACCAATCACAATCTTTTAAAATTATAACGCATATACATATTACTGAATGCAAGCATGTATCAAAAGACCACCCCTAAAAGTAATATTTTTCCTGTAAGTCCTATTTTTTTATTAGTCCTTAAAGATCTACTTAAACATTATTATATAGTTTCTTTTCTTTCTTAAAAAAAAAATAATAATAATGAAAGACTCCCCAAAATAAAATACCAGATTCGCTAGTGTATGCATATGGAGCGTTTAGTGATCAAAGTGCCGAAAAATTAAAACTTTGTTGTTAAATGCTAAGTGATCAGAAGATTCGTAAAATCGCTAATGCAATCGATTATGATTTAAACAAACACAAAAAATTCTTGTAGTTCAAAAGTGAGACTGTAGACTATTCAACCAAAAAGATTCTCTCTTCTCTCATCACCCTCCGAATCCGGTGGTTATTCTTCTTAAAGTTGTTTTTTTCTAATATATATAATAAGTAATATTATGTTATGTGCATAATTTTTTTTGTATATAATCATTTTATAAAACAAATTTTTTGACTAACATGAGTAACGTGAACAGTATTAACAGGTATTTTTGAGTGAAAATAATGGTCAAAATTAAAAGTGTTATAAATAAGTAATGATCGTACAAAGCTCACTTTGGTATAAAATTATATTGCCTTTAAAAAATAATAGGACAAGCATTTCTGTCAGGATCATAGTTCAGGAGTTATTTAATAACAACGAAAATAAATAGTGAAAATTTTGCAGTTTTTAAGTTATTAAACTGGTCTCACAGGTATTTCAAAGCTGCAAAATTGGTTTCTAATTGATTTAGGTCTTCACAACATATACAAATATTTTTGTTACACAACCTTTCATAATTACAACTTGAATAGTTTTATTTTTATTTCTCTCAATATCTACCTTTCATTGTTTTTCATTATCTGTCAATTTTAAGAGAATCATTGAGCCAAAATATTCTGATATTAACTTAAATGGGAGCTAATTAAATTTACTTCAAATTTATCCTCCATGGCTGTATTCATAGAAACAATATTTTTGATGTTTTGCCAAATAAAAGAAGATTCCATAAAATGTTTTACATAGCTCAGTATGGTATAAAATTGGAAAAAAATCTATCGAATTGAAAAAACAGTACAAGCTGTTCTGTCTGACTCATAGTTATAGAGTTATTCAGTAAAAACTGAAACAAGTGTGACACTATTTCGGTTCGGCTATTATGCAGGTCCTAAAAGTTTTTTGAAGCTTTAAAGTTGGTTTCTTTTTGTTGATTTAGCTCCAGACAACATATTAAACAAACTAGAACTATTTGACTGTTTGCATGAACAGCCCCTTTTTATACATAAATTGAAAGGAAGATTAACAAAAAAAATTATTTAAAAAGTGAGAAACTATTTTTTTCTTTAAAATTAAAGTTGTCAGCTAGGAAATGGAATTCCTAAAGAGTGATCATTGGGGCAACTATTGGTGAAGTTGGAGCTTAAGAAAAGAGCAAATTGAAAAGACATATGGTATTTATTATTATATATTAAATTGATTTCCATTTTCCATTATTTAGATTTCTTAAGTCAAACATCGTTTCCTAACCGGAAATTGAAGGTAGAATATGAATCCATAGTCAGATTCTACATTATTCTGTCAAAGAAATGATATCAGATATAATACTACAGATAAAAATATGTTATTAATTAGTTAATGATAATTTTAGATAGAACACTAAACAATTATAAAAGTAGACAAAAAATTACAGGCAATGCACATCGGATTGATGTTTGGAAAGTTGCACCACTAAGCAAAAAATGATCAGTGAAGATTACTCAAGACATAGGTGCAGACTTCATTCTGGTGATGCACTCCCTCCAAAAACAAACACTCTAAAGTTTATATTATGTATAAAAATAATGAGTGGCAATTAAAATAATCAGCATAATTATTGTAAAACAAACAATTAAAAACTTAAAAATGGAAGGGTGCACATAAATGAATCATAAAATCCGAGGATATGTTGCAGCATATACTTATCTTTGAATATAAACTGATATTTCAATAATAGGGATATAGGGAGTTGTAAAACACTTGCATACCTACTTCTAGCTCATAGCTAAGCCATATATTCGACTGTTCAGGGATCAATCTCTGAAATGCTAAAAAATGAAGGAAATATTTATATATAATTTTAAAGTCAATTATTCCTGCACAGTTAAGCCTAGGCTGCAGTAAAGTGTGCATACTCATTTTTTACCAGACATTATTAAAGAACAATGATTTTCTAAATCCAAGTGAAACAACCTGGTGGAAAAATAGGGATAGAAGAGTAGACCAAGAAAATATAATTTTTGCCAGAAGCAAAATTACTCCACTTTCAATCCTACAATGCATAATTTCAAAAATTGTAATTTGTATTTGTTCTCTCTTTCATTAGCAATTTTACTTTTATTCTAAAGATTGAGTGCACAAATTTTAGTTTTTAGATTTATATTCATTATTTTTAACAAAATATTTTGTTGTTTTGCAAATGTTTAATTTCAGTGATCCAATCCTTATACAGTCCACACTAATTGAAACATAAACCAACCAAAAAATTACATTTTTGAGACCAATGGGTAATATTTGGGTCACACTAAATTACCGTAACAATAAATTGGCATTTCCTGTTTTCTTGATTGATTTTAGTTAACATATTTTATTCATTCATGTAAATTAATTGTTATAAATTTTTGTTCTTCAAAATATTGAGGGAGAGGGGGGACAAAATGATATTATCGCTCCCTCTCCATTTTTATTGGAAGGGCGATTGCCCCCCTTGAAGTCTATGCCTTAAACTCAAGATAGCAATCAGTATAGATAAAGAAGAGAACCTGCTAGGTTTTAAGAAAGTGGAAAGATGGATAAGAGGGCACCAGATGAAAAATTAAATAATTCTAAAAAGAAGGATAATTATTTAAATTTATTATAAGTGTAGGGGGCTGGTATAGCTGAGTGGTTAGCATGCTATAATAGTAAAGTAAAGATCATAGGATCGAATCCCGGCCCTACTTCCTAATATAGCTGGTCCCTGCGGGAAGTTAGACCATAATACCCCCTTAATTAGGGGAGGCCTACAAGTTGTAAGACTTGTATGAACAGGCTATATTATTATTATTATTACTGTAGATCTGATATTTCCAGACATTGATGAATACAGAGCCTCTAGTTGTAATACACTACTAAAGTTTTAATAAAATAAATAAAGATCTCAGAATAGTTAGGATAAAGATACTGTAAAATACTACTCATACAGCTGAATGAAGTTAGTAGATTCTTACAGACACCAGTTAACCATATAAATCATGTTTTTAACTAAGAGTTACACATAAGAGGAATATTTTAGATGGCTAGAGGAATGATTATTCATTCTTAATAATTGTTGCTGTTTCCTAGTAGACTCTTCTTAGTTTTCAGGAGTTAAGTTTAAAGAATTCCTGATTGATAAAATAGCCATCTATTTATGTTTGGTTACAGGAATAATTTATTAAGTCATAATTACAACACTCAAAAATATATACTAGACTAGGTAGGGTATTTAATAAATTTGGAGCATTAAAAATTGAAATAATTTATTAAGAATAAATAAATTTTATAATTCAATGGTACAGAAAATGAAAAACAGATATATCTATAAATTTCATATAAATAAAAAATAACTTTTATCATTTGATGATAACTAATACTAAGCTTCATGATCTTCATTGACATTGATAAGTGATTCTCTTTGCTCAATTTCAGATTCCGTAAGTCTGAAAAATGTTGTAAGGTTAAACAGATTGATAAGAAACTATAAATATTTAACAAACAATTAATTTACAACATTAGTACATAGATAAAATTTAAAAATCATCAATGAGAACAGAATTCGTATCAAGTAAAATGAATATTAGTATCTTTTCATTTGAATTTCTGCTTTTATATACAGACCCAACTTTTTTGAATTCTGTCATTTTAATAAACACATATTTTCAAGTGACCACAAATGGTTTATGAACGTCACTGACTATTGCAAATTTTCCAGGGATACAAGTATTCTTACTGCCAAAAAGTAGATGATTTTATATAGTTTATTAATATTACTCTAAACTATAGCTACTTATGGATTTGTCTCCCGAAAAGGAAGACCTGTTAGCAAAATGGATATTTCATTTCTCCTAATGGGGATTTCCAAAATGAAAAAAAATATTCATGAGTGGTTAGAAATTATCTACTGTTGAAAATAAAAATGTAAACTAAAAGAATGTACACCATGGAATGGATTGAATTGGGGTTTTCGGTACGATACGCTGTGATCCAAATAACTACAATAGAACTACTTCAATAGTATTAGAAATGAACACTCATATATCTGTGGTAAAACATATGTCTCATAAAATATATTTAAAGTTATTTTAGTTGAGTTGTAATTATTTAAATAAAATAAAATGTTTTATTTTACTCTTCGCACTTCTGATCCTGGAAGCAACAGTAAAGCTCTGGCTCAGATGATGTAGATATTTATGAAATAGATGGAAAACTAGTCAAAGCCATTTGACCATGTTTTTTAAAAATATATTTTAAGACTATGTTAGAATTATGTGTTTTCGGAGTAAGTAATAATAAGATATTATTTAATAAATATGATTTTTTAAATAAACTCCAATGTATTCAATAAAAACAATTATTTAGCTGTATTTTTGCATCATGACCATAAACTATCCATCATATCCATAATTAGTATCAATAGTTTTTTTTTTTAAATGTTATAAAAAATTATTTTGAAGGGAAATACATCACATTTGTCAATTTTATATTAAATATAAACATCGGTTAAGATTAAGGTGACCAGATTTTAATATTGGTAAAGCGGGACACCATTGACCGGGGGGAAGGAAGATATTCTTGATTAAAATTTGGTTTATTCATTAAGTCCAAACAATAGTTGGGGCGAGGTGGCTGAGCGGGATAACATGTGTGAACAGCACCGTATATTGTCCGGCAACCTGATAACCGACGTTTGAGATAGGAAAATAATTATGAGTTCAAATCCAGGTGTCCGGTGGGACTTTTAACTCCGCATAATTCCTCAGCCCTCTCTTCCGGCCTGGGAAAAACCTCGTGTAGCCAAAGAGGCAAGGAAGGGTTGACAAAAAAAAAAAAGTCCTTTTTACAATAATTAATTTTATATAATGATAATATAGTGCAAATATTAATCAGGTGACATAGAATTCAGTTGAAATAAGGTTGAAAATTTAGTTATAATGATGTATTTTTGAGAAAGAATAATTTGATGTCTAATTTATGACTTCAATAATAACACAGTTTTTAAGACTCAAATATTTTGTGCCAGCAGTTTGCACACATTCAAGTACCTCTTTTTCAAAATGCTATAAACTTATTGAAGGTGACATTTCGGTAATCAAAGAAAGAAATGAAGTTAGTTTGTTGATGCACAAGATTTAACCTTTTCCTTGTTAATATGTTTTTTAATAACAATACCTAATTAAAAGGATCATTTTTGGGTTGTTTATGATCGTTAAGTCCAAACAATGGTAGTCAAATTTTAACAACTGATCAACTGTGCGAACTTTGCTAAGCTGTTCTTGATAATAATTAACAATTTATTAATAAGTAAATAAATAATTATTTATTATTAAAGTTTAACATTATAAAATTAACAAAACTAACATAAAACCCATATCCAGGCGAAATAGCCACATGGCCACCTGAAGCCGTATATTCTCTTCCCCTTTTATCTGCCGCACCCTAGCTTGTTGTGCATTCTTTTTGAAAATCGGGACTTTTTCAAAATTCTGCAGGACAAAATCGAGACTGTCCTGCCAAAAGCAGACATTTGGTCACCTCAGTTAAGATTCTAAATATGTAATTAAAAATGATAACTGACAAAGTGAGTAGACACTTTGTAGAATACCCCCTTTGGCAACAATCAACTTCCTTAGCTATAATCATAATTCATGATTTACCCTACTACCTACCCCAAAATCATCTACACACAGGAAACTCAAATTAACTGACCAAACTTATAAATATACATCTTTTTTTTTTTAATATCACTTTAATCATAACATCTCACAACTATAATTAATAAAAACAAAAGATTACTAATTATTGGTTACCTTTCTTCTTCTGACAAAGAAAGAACCTTTTTCACTCCTTGGAGAACTGGGTCCATGTTGTCATAGTGAGTTAAAAATGTGATAAATACAAAGGAAGCAATAACTGGAATACTTCCTATGTAAAATAGAAATGATGGGGGACAAATTGATAAAATCATATCACTTACAATTGATAAAGGTATGGTCAAACTTAGTGCTAAAGTAGCAATAAGTGATGATGTCAGGAGACATCCCCTGAAATAAATAAAATTATTTTATTGAAACATACAATAAATTTTAAAAATAAAATGAATAAACATTAAAATTACTTATTAAATAACTTAAATAAGATTGTCAATCAAATCTTCTAAAAGAATTCCAGTAATTTTTAGAACAATTATAGGTTATCAAAATAGTTATAATCTGACTTAGATATTTGTGCAGGTTTGCATACAAATACAGTCGACTCTTGATTATTTGAACCTCGATAATTCGAATTTTTCGATAGTTTGAACTCTTTGGGTGTCAACTTTAGATAATCAAAAAAATACTGTATTTTCCCTAGCCATATTTAATCCTCATTTTCTGCATGTTTACCTCCTCTTTCAGCCCAGATTTACTTCCCAATGCTCTTTAGTTTGTCACAACAAGAGCAAAGCAGAAGTATGTCTCCCTTGCTGTGTCAGAATGCTTTGGACCTGAGATGCCAAACCCCATTTAAACAAAAAAATTATTCTTAATTTTTATTATTATCTATTAGAATGTTAATATGTAACTTTTTGTAGTCCCCTTTGTTCGTTTTCCATTAATTTTACTTTTTTATGTGAGGCTATGTGTATATAAAATTAATGTAAGCTCATAAACATTTTCAAAAATATAATAAAAACTCTTAAAAATTAGATTTTTTTCTTTCATCTTGATAATTCAAAAACTCTAACTTTTTTTTTGAAGTCCCATGGATTTCAAATAATTGAGAGTTGACTGTATTGTTTGTACCATAAAAATTTACCTACTATTTGTTTTAAAAAACCTCCAGTATAGTGGATTATAATATTTAAAATTTTAAATATATTATCAGTTATTTAACAAAATTATTAATAAAGATGAAATACTAGATAATACTCTCAAAACACGAGTTACTAATTGGAGTGGATTGTAAGGTAAGGTTGCATGATTAAAGCTTTATGCTCATATCAATTCATTCCCTCAAAATAGAACGTTTTTTTGGGTGCGGAGCAGAGATTTTTACCCAGAAAAAGATCGAATTACTGCAGGCAGAAATTTATAAATACTGACAAAATGATCCCACAGATGAGATGTGAGCTAGCTTACGGCATCTGTTACTTGCACTCACAAAATAAAGAATAGAGTGCTGCTATTCTTTTATTAACAATATTGTTTTTGTTAGCACAATACACAGTTCAAGTATATTCAATAATAATAATTTGGTACAATTATATCATTATTCCTAATCTTTCCAAAAGCATATTTCTAATAAAAATCAACTTATGAATATAGGAGGTAAGGTAAAGAACTTAAAAAGAACATTTTAGTGTTCATCTGTGTTTGCCATTCGAATCTTACTTCCAGTAAAAATGGCGTCTGATTTAATGAATTTTGGGCCAGTAACTTGAGGATCCCAGTAAAAATGGCAACTGATTTCATGAATTTTGGGCCACTAACTTGAGGATTGAAACGGAAAATTCGTTGCGAAAAATCTGAGAAAAGTTTTTATTTCTTTAACTTGTATATGTTCTGCGCATGCGCTTGATTTGAATACCCACATTTCACGTCGTGTCCCACAGTTTTACTATTTTTTAGTAGAATAAGTGCTCAGTTTTACTTTTTTAAAAAAAACTAGTTAAGCAGACATCAAAACAACAACAATGGACTAACACCACAGTGAGTAGTGTTGTTATTTACTGTGTACTATTACAGACAGTGAATTTAGTGATTTAGCGTCTATAGGCTTAATCTCTATAGCCATAACAGCTGACGGCTCCCCTCTCCAGTTGTGGCCCTGCCACGTAACCGGCTGGTTCTCAGCCAGTGGTTCATCCATTGTAATAACACGCAGACGTAGTTTTATTTATTTATTTATTTTTTTTCCCTTTCTTTTTTTTTTATATGCGATATTACCACCAAGTAATGTCAACTAAGAGGTCCCATTCAGTTGGCTCTACCCCACGTAATTCACCGCCTAAACAGAAAACACGTCGTAGTAAGCGATTAACACCCCCCGGAACTGCTCCAGCGAACACTCAAGAATCTGTGTCTCAACCACTGCCAAGTACGTCTTCACAAGAAATGGAATCTCCATTTTTTACACCTAATCCATACCAGGTGCTTGAAAATGACAGGGAAGAAATGGAAGATGCACCTATACCTCGAGAACCACGCCCACCTCCTATCTTTGTCAAAAATTTGAGAAATTTCCAGTTGTTGTGTACTCAACTTAATAAAATCTGCCCAGGTAGCTATACATGCCTAAACAGAATAAATGATACAAAAATAATACCGGCCACACCTGAAGCGTACCGAAAAATCGTAAAATATTTAACAGACACAAATGCGGACTTTCACACATACCAGTTGAAACAGGAAAGAGCACTACGAGTTGTAATAAGAAATTTACACTCCTCAACCCCAATAGAAGTGATTAAAGAAGAGTTAACGGCGTTAGGGTTCAAAATACGTCAGATAACCAATGTTTTAAAAGAAAATAAAGAACAACCAGGTGTAAAGAATAAAATCCCATTGCCCTTATTTTTCGTCGATCTAGAGCCATCGCCTGGGATCGAAAAAATATACGATGTGAATAGAATTTTCTACACCAGCGTAAAGGTCGAAAAACCGTACCCAAAAAGAGAGCTCATCCAGTGCCATAATTGCCAAGCATATGGCCACACCAAGTCTTATTGCCACCACTTACCACGCTGCGTGAAATGTGGTAAAACACACAAGTCTGGCGAGTGTAATAAACCAATTACAGAACCAGCAGTCTGTGCCCTATGCCTGGAAGGCCATCCAGCCAACTACAAAGGCTGCCAAATTTATAAAAATCTTAAAGCGAGATATATGAAACCCAGGGACCCTGATGATACACCTAAACCAAGAAGAGGACCCGCTAAAATTGTGAACTCTAAGGTTTCTTTTGCCAAGCTACTTGGGGGTAGAGACCCGACTAATGTATGTGAGGCCCTGCCGCAAGAACAAACTCAACCCCAATCTCAATATCCTATCCCACCTAATGTACCTAATCAACAACAACCTCACCAACATCAAATCCAATATGTTCCTCCACCGCCTAATGCTACAGATCTAACCAGCTTATTGACATCCTTTCTTTCAGAATTTAAATCCCTTGTTACCCCACTGATATCACTTCTCACTAACCTAGTATCTCACCTTATCCCTCCTTTAAAAAATCCTTAAATGACTTCCATCAAACCCATATCCATTCTCCTTTGGAATGCGAATGGCGTTAGAAATCACATACACGAACTAACAGCCTTACTACAAGACAAGAACGTAGACGTAGCCCTAATAACGGAAACTCGACTGACTAAAAAACAGCTCCTAAAAATACCACAATACATAACTTACCGTACCGACCATCCTGACGGTAGAGCACATGCCGGTACTACAGTCATTGTGCACCAATCCCTCTCCCATCACCTACTCCCCCTGCCTACACACGATTTCCTACAATCCACCGCAGTCGTAATCAAAACCTTCTCCTTTCCTATTACCGTTGCATCAGCGTATTGCCCTCCAAACCAATCCATCTCCAATATCCAATTTAGTTCCTTCCTCATTTCCTTAGGACATCATTTCATCTTGGGTGCAGACTTAAACGCCAAGCATCAACAATGGGGTTCAAGAACCAAGAAATCTCGTGGTCGAACATTGCTGTCTGTACTCAATTCCCAATATTTTACCCTTCTTCCACCCAACTCACCTACCTACTGGCCCACTGATCCTAACCGTAATCCCGATATCCTCGATTTCTTTATCCATAATGGTTTAGGTGCTCTCAACCATTCCGTTGCCCGTCTTGACGAGCTTTCCTCAGACCACAGCCCATTAATACTCCAAGTATCACTAGCTCCTATTCCTAAACCCTCTCCTCCGTCCTTCATCAGAGGCCCAGTTAACTGGAAACTCTTTCATCAAATCCTCTCCGATAAAATTGACCTCAGAGTAACCCTGAAAACCTCTGAAGACCTGGACAATGCAGTACATTCCTTCACTACCAAAATTCAAGAAGCAGTCTGGACTGCTTCCTCCCCTGATCACTCCTCAAAAATCCTTAAGAAACATAATTTACCTCAACACCTCCTTGACCTAATCCACATAAAACGCCGTGCCAGATTATTATGGCAACGTACCAGACATCCAGCCGACCGCCACTCCTACAATTATCACTGTAAAAAATTAAAACAAGAGTTAGCCACCTTCAGATCCCAATCATTCAATTCCTACCTCACCACACTCTCTGCTCATGATAATTCTCTTTGGAATATCACCAGAAAAATCCTCAAATCCCATCATATTTCCCACCCTCTTCGACGAGATGATGGCTCCTGGGCAGCATCTGATGAAGATAAAGCCGAGGAATTTGCCAAACACCTTTCCTATACTTTCGCTCCTCATCCAGAATCCCATCCCAGCCACACAGTAAAAGTAGAAGAATCCCTCTCAATACCTATCCCACTCTCCTTACCACTTAAAGCTGTTAATCCCTCTGAGGTCAAATACCTTTTACGGAAAATCACACCTCGCAAATCTCCTGGATATGACCTTCTAACCCCACAGATCCTTCGACAACTTCCATCTAAAGCCATCATATTTCTTACATATATATACAATTGCATCCTACGAACTACCCACTTCCCTCTTTTATGGAAACATTCCACCATCGTCCTCTTCTTGAAACCAGGCAAACCTTCCAACAATACAGCACCCTATAGACCAATTAGCCTACTCCCAATCCTCTCAAAAATTTTTGAAAAGATCCTACTGAAACGAATCCTACCTATAATTGAATCCTATAACCTTCCTACTCATCAATTCGGATTTCGTTCCCAACATTCCACTGTCCAGCAAGGACTCCGAGTTGTTGACCATATATCCTCAACCCTAGAAAGCAAGCAGTATTGCTCGGGTACATTTCTGGACATAGCGCAAGCTTTTGACCGGGTATGGCACGCCGGATTAATCTTCAAGCTTAAAATCCATCTACCACAGTCCTT